CTAAAATAAAGCTTCTAGCTACTTCGTATTGCAACTGATTAAGGGCAATAAAAGGAAAGGCAGGAAAAACATCATTTTATTTAAATGCTTCATGCTTCAGATCCACAGTAGGTGAAATATTTCTTCAATGAGCAAAGGTTAAGCAGTCAGCAAAATTAAAACTGACCTGCATTTCACACAACTGTATATACGCTTTAAGTAGCAGTCTTGGAAAAATGTTACCTTTAACTTATAAATTCCCACATGTTGTTTTCAAAAAGATGTGGGAGACTTGTCTATACTGCATGATTGTTCATGAGTAACAGCTAACATTTATTTAGTGTTTTAACACGTGTCAACAAGCACTGGTCTAAGTAAATTTTCAAGAAACACTTTGTATGGGTCCAGGGCAGTGGCCTAGTGGCTAAAGTCCTCGCCTTGAACGCACGGGGATCCCATATGGACACCAATTCTAATCCCGGTAGCTCTGCTTCCCATCCAGCTCCCTGCTTGTGGCCTGGGAAAGCAGTCGAGGACAGCCCAGAGCCTTGGGACCCTGTACCCATGTGGGAGACCCAGAAGAGCTCCTGGTTCCTGCCTTCAGATCGGCATGCAGTCACTTGAGGAGTAAATCATCGGGCGGAAGATCTTTCTATCTCTCCTTCTCTCTGTATATCTGACTTCGTAGTAAAATAAATAAATCTTAAAAAAAAATACTCTGTATGGTAATTCTGAAAGATTGTATCATTATTCCCATTGTTCAAGTCAGGAAAACAAACACACAAGTAATGTGCCTGAGGTCATAGGCAGACAAATGGCAGTAAGGATTCAAACAAACTTCTTCAGTAGTATCTTAAACACAGTAGCTGCCTGCCAATGGGTATTTAACTGCTACTGTATCCTAGGCACTAAGGAGAACGATGACAAGACAGAAGGACTCTCATGACCTGGCTCTTCATAAAGAAAAGAAAAATCGGTCATTGAGCAAGAGAAAATAGAGGGTCTGTCCTAAGATCTAATTGAAGGCATCACCTTCCCATTACAGGGAACACAAACAAGGACAACCTGAAGGAAGACGCGGCACAAGAGAAACCAGTAACAGGAACGTGCTGGGGGGCCCTAGCCAGATCAGATACGTAAAACATCCCTAACTGTGGTTTTATCCTGTTTGTCATGTTAATATGGAGCCACTGAAGATTTCTGGACAAGGAAATGACATGTTGTGACTGGGACATAAAGCTCACTTAACCATATATGAATGGAAAATTAGATGCAGATAAGAGTCTAACTTACAGGACTAGGTACGGCATAGACAGAGCTACAAGAAACAAGAGAGGGGACCGGCACGATGGCTTAATGGATAAATCCTCGCCTTGCATGCACCAGGATCTAATGTGGACACTGGTCCATATCCTGGGTGCTCCACTTCCCATCCAGCTCCCTGCTTGTGGCCTGGGAAAGCAGTCAAGGATGGGCCAAAGCCTTAGGACCCTGTACCCACACGGTAGAACTAGCAGAAGTTCCTGGCTTTGGATCAGCTCAGCTCTGGCCTTTTTGGCCATTTGGGACATGAACCAGAGGATGAGTGATCTTTCTGTCTCTCCTCTCTGTAAATCTGCCTTTCCAATGCAAATAAATAAATCTTTAAAAAAAGAAAGTAAGAAAAGAAAACAGAAGGAAGGGAAAAAGAGTGATCCTCTCAGGATGCACCAACTCAAGACAAGATCAAGACTGGCTGACCAGCCGCTACGGAAGAAGCAGGAAGCCAGGCATGGAACAGGTGCCGGTTAAGTCCATGCCAGCAGCACTTACGCAACATCAGTTTTAAATAGGTACCACTAAGATACCTAGAAGAGGATCATGGTATACCCAAGCTTACGCCGTCTAAATCTCAAAACTTGACTGCTGGACTGATTTATTATCAGTATCATCAAATGTTGCAGGTCCAGGAAAGAAAACATCTTCCAAAAATGGACTGTAAATTAGTTATGAATTAATGTAGATTTCCACTTTGCTATTTCTGCTTCTTTATTCCTTATCCCATATCGCTAAATACTGGCTATTAAAATAAAATTCAAAATAAAAGGTTTAAATAATTGTCCTCCCAAATTTGAGGAGAAAGAACAAAGATTTAGCATCTAAAAATTAAATCTTAAATTGAAAAAAGTCACCACACCAATGGATACACAGCAGGACTGCCTTTCCAAAGGTCAACAGCATGCCTAAGTGATAAGTCTCAAAACACTGCAAGTCCATTTTGAAAGAAAAACGAACTATCATTAACTCAACTTTAACTTTTCCTTGAATATATCCTAAGTTATTCAATCGGAATATTCATTGTCCTCATGAACCACCTTAATACTTACAAAACAGTTTATTTTTTTTTAAAGATTTTTTTTTTTATTGGAAAGGCAGATATACAGAGAGGAGAGACAGAGAGGAAGATCTTCCGTCCAATGATTCCCTCCCCAAGTGAGCGCAACGGTCGGTGCTACGCCAATCCGAAGCCAGGAGCCTCTTCCGGGTCTCCCACGCGGGTGCAGGGTCCCAAAGCTTTGGGCCATCCTCGGCTGCTTTCCCAGGCCACAGGCAGGGAGCTGGATGGGAAGCGGGGCCGCCGGGATTAGAACCGGCGCCCATATGGGATCCCGGGCGTGCAAGGCGGGATCTTAACCACTTGCGCCACCGCGCCAGGCCCACAAAACAGTTTATTTTGTGCAGTTTGTTGTGCTTTAAAACACACAGATTTACAATTAAAAATCCTCATTTTTATTAGACACTTGGAATAGCACTGTCATTCTTCTTAATCCAAGAGCAAGGTAAGAACTGACTACATTGTTCTTTATAGAACACTGTAACAGTGTATACAAGCTGCTCCATCCCAGAAAAACCAGAATTGAAGAATTTGAAACTTACATAAAGTTAAAAGGGTCAAAGGATGTCTACCCACATAAAAAATAGCATTTCCAAACATGGCACTGGGGAGGCCCAACAAATCCCTGGGCTCCACATGCCCAAGCCTGATGCCATAGGGCTGGATTTTTATCTATCCAAACCTGTGCATCTTACCTTGCATTTTTACCTCAAGTTCACATGCAGTGCTGGTGTTTCAAGACGTAACAACTTCAAAAATCCCTACTCCCAGCACACAGTGCACACTGTTAAATTGAGATGTCATTCCCTGTTAAATTTAGCCATGTTTCTTTAAATAGTAAATTAATAATTATCCCATCTTTTCTAATTTTTCTAATTTTTCTTTTAACAGCAAAATGTCACAAAGGGATGTTCCATCTGGCTGTTCATTCCACAAACCCCTACAATAGTTTGAACAGCTCTTAGCTGAAGCTAAGAGCAAAGAACTCCGCCGAGGTCTCCCTTGCGCAAGTGACAGGGATTCAAGTATTAGCCACCTGCCAGGGAACACTGGCAGGAAGCCAAGGAACTGACCCTTCTACACGGAGGAAGGGCGGAGTCCCAGCAGCAACACAACCAACTTGTGCTACAACACATATCCCCATCATCTCTTCAGGTGTATTTTTATATAGAAAACACACCTGAGCCCAACTCAAACGGTAAAGCCCTTACAATCCTAGATGTAAAAGAGCATCTTAAAGAATCATATGACATACACGATACCATTAGTATGGAATGCCCAAAATGAGCAAATCTATACAGATAAGCAGCTGCTTAGGATTGTAGAGGTAGAAACCAAGAGTGACCACCAGGCAGTTATGGGAATAAATACACTAAAATCTATTAACTGACACATCTTAAACAGGCAAATATTATGGCATATAAGCTACATTTCAATAAAGCTGTTGCTAGTAAGTTTATACAGTAGCTAAGAAACATTAAACCAAACGTGGTACTTTATTCCTAAAAATGCAAAATTCAAACGTCAACAGTTCCTTTGTACTTTCATCTACCAGCCATTCAGATTGCTAAGAAGGTTCTCAGCTGCATTTTTAAAGAAAACACCTTCTTCCACAAACTTCTCATGTTTTTCATCTCTACCTTAAAGGAAGACTTTAGAATACATGCCCCAGGTAAACAAGCCTGCTCTGAAAATTATTGCAAAATCCAAATTAGCTAGGTTATAAAGTACTTATAAAGCTATTAAACTGCAAGTATGCACAAATATTATGTTCAGAAGTAATGAGATGGCCTCTGGAATAACCCTACGTACCAAAACTATTCAACTCTCAGCTGCAATTTTTGAAAATATTCAAGCCTCATATTCACCAGGGGCAGCTGAGTAGCCAGACTGGCTCTAGAGATCAATCACATAAGGAATACAGAGCCTTATCCAGGTTTTGTCTCATCTTTCCCGCACACATAGTTTATATATAGCTTACAGCACAAACGGGGTGGTGCTACATGGTCCTTACAAAAAACATGGTCCCACATTTTAGGACCAGTGCTGTGGCATAGTAGGTACAGCTATTGCCCTGACACCAGCATGCCAAATGGACACAGGTTCAAGTTCTGGCTTCTCCACTTCTTATCCAGCTCCCTATTAAGGCACCTGGGAAAGCAGCGGAGGACGGCCAAAGCCTTAGGCTCTGGCACCCATGTAGGAAACCCAGAAGCAGCTCCGGGCTCCTGGCTTTACACCAGCCCAGCTCCAGTCACTGTGAGTATGTGAACTAATGGATGGATGATCTATCCGTAACTCTGCCTTTCAAATAAATATATCTTAGAAAGAAAAAAAAAAAAAAAAAGCACTTGTTTTCTAAACAGGAGTACTGAAGCAGTGTTACACCTTTCCTTCGTACTTTCATTCTGACTGCTAACATTCTCAGCTGCATTTTTTAATTAAGAAAACACCTTCTTCTACAAACGTCTCATGCTTTGCATCTCTACCTTAAAAGACTTTAGAATACATTTTTCAGAGTCCATGGAAGATTTTTAAGGTTTTCTATTACTTGACTATTTGTTCCTTGAATTCATCTTCTTTCTAACTTCATGCCCAATGATTTGGTTAAATTAACAGTGTTACCACTAAATATAACAGGACTTACGTCTCATGAGTTCCAAAAAAGAAAATGGGTAACTTGTTTGTGGGTGGCTTTACAGCTCCATCAGGAACTTCATCTACCTAAAAGAGAGGTAAGAATAATCAAAATATTTTAAACCATATGTATCTCACACAACTACATAAGCAGAGAACAAGACATCGAAAAAGGGTATGGAAAATAAATCCAGATCAGTTCCAGGGACCAATAACCCCACATCCCGTTTTGAACCCCAAGTTTTTTCAACATTTATTTGGTAGTAAAGCCGAGACTGACATGAGGCCAATACAGTCATTTCCTTAATCCACGGAGTATATCCACCCCTCACCTCTGCGAAGCGCTGTTACCCACTAGCCGTGGCAAGGCACGACACCCGCACCATCACAACCTTCTGACAATCGCAAATTTTTGAATTGTTCAACATGCTGAAATCTAAGGATGTCAGATGAACAGTCAATCTGTTTGACAATGTTAAAAGATATTTCTGTAGGAAGGCTAGATAAGGAATAATTTGCTGTAAAAGCAGTATTTTCTAAAAGATGAAATCTGTTATGAAAAGACCCTTCACCCACATGGCCGAATCACTTGAGGTTACCTGTCCCTTTTTTTGTTTGCTTTCAATCCTTTTAATTAAGGAAGAAGGGATCAGGTACTACTATGTTTAATGCATACAATACTTGTTACTCAAGTTGGCATTGTAGCATGGCACATAAAGCCGCCACCACAGCCTGCAATGCCGGCATCCCAAGTTGGTGCTGGTTTAAGTCCTGACCACTTCACGTATGATCCAGCTAATGTTCCTGGAAAGCAGAGAAACCCAAACCCTGGGGACTCTGTACCCACATAGGAGACCCAAAAGTTCCAGGTTCCTGGTTTTGGTCTGGCTCAGTCCTGGGCATGACTACCATTTGAGGAGTGAACCAGTGATGGAAGATGTCTCACTCTTGCTCTCATTCTCTGTTAACTCTTTCAAATAAATGTTTAGTAAAGGTGGAGGGCAGAGAAGCTGACCACAAAAGGGCCTACTCTACACTGCAGGCACTGCGGTGTTGAAGAAAACACCGTAACATGAACGCAATGGGCTGTTTGCAGGAGCAAGCCAGGAAGATTCACTGCCACTCAACATCTCTATCGATTCTGATCTACCAAAAGGATCCTGTTTATTCACTTTCATGGGAAGGCCTTAACAACTCTGGTAGAAGGACAAGAAATAACTGCTTTCTGTCAACCTGGTTCATGCATCTTCTCCTTTTGGCCTGGATGTAAATGCTTAGCACTCACAGAGCTTCATAAATGCTAAGCCACTTTAAAAGCTGGTTTTAAAAGCAACTTTAAGAAAAAAAAAATTGCAAGAAGGTTGGCGTGAAATAACACATAAAGGCACCAAGATGACAGCAGCATGCCATATAGGCACCGCTTCCTGTGCAGGCTGTTCCACTTCTGGTCCAGCTCCTTACCGCTGGCCTGGAAAACCAGCCCCAATGCTTAAGCCCCTGCCCAGAGCGGCAACTCTAGATGTTTCTTAGCTCTTGTCATTGGCCTGATCCATCCTCAGACTACCCCAAACCTTTAGAAGCAGCCAGCACATGGAAGATCAAACATGTCTGTCTTTCCCTCTCTGTGTAACGATATCTTTGGGGAAAAAAGGATTACAAGTATGTGCAGGTTTAAAACTAATGAAGTCTAGGCCAGGAAGCTGTAGCCCAGCGGTGCAAGTCCTTGCCTTGCATATGCCGGGATGGATCGCATTTGGGCACCGGTTTGTGTCCAGGCTGCCCTGCTTCCTTTGCAGCTCCCTGCTTGTGGCCTGGGAAAGCAGTCCAAGACGCCCCAAAGCCTTGGGATCCTGCACCCACGTGGGAGACCTGGAAGAGGCTCTGGGCTCCTGGTTTTGGATCAGCACAGCTCCACCCTTTGTGGCCACTTGGGGAGTGAAATCAACAGATGGAAGATCTTCCTCTCTGTCTCTCCTCATTATATGACTTTCCAAGAAAAATAAAACAAATTTAAAAAAAAATGACGAAGGAAGGTAACTCAGGGATATATAATGTCAAAACTCACTCAACTGTTACAAAGGATACATGAGTAAAGGAAAGAGAAACCTCCCTTAACTCAAACTCGTTACATCAAGCTAGTTTTCTAAAGTGTAGTCACCTACGACTGATGACAGGCATGGGGGAGATGATTTGGAAGTAGATCATTTCAAGACATTCCTATTTGGCCTTCAATTGCACGGGGACACAGAGATCTGAATGCAGATGTCTCAGATCGTCCCGGGCCTTTACAGCACCTTCAAGAAAATAAAGATGCCTCTAAAACCACAAAAACCTGTCAGCAGAGAGGCCTTAAACCCACCCAGCCTCCCTAGCTTTATCTGAATTGTAATGGAAGTATTAAAATATCCAGAGTTACATATTAAGGACTTGAGAGGGGGCTGCAAGGCAATCCGATTTACAGCTATTACCTTCATGAATCTCAACACACTCCAGAGTCAAAGTGCACACAAAGGGTTAAAAGATTTCAAAAAGGCAGACTAGAATGCGAACCGCACGCCCAAGACAAAGACTAGGGCTTGCTGAAGTCAAGACAGACATCACTGAATAGGCAGTTCAATAAAAAAGGAGGGAAAAGCTTGGGACTGTATGAAGCTTGATTCTGTTTCCTCCCAACTGACACCCAGGATTTAAAATTTAAAGAAATAGGGCCCAGACCCATGGCTCAGTGCCTAAGCCCTCGCCTTGTAAGCCCTAGGATCCCAAGTGGGCTCAGTTTGTGTCCCAAATGCTCCACTTCCCATCCAGCTCCCTGCTTGTGGCCTGGGAAAGCAGTTGAGGATGGCCCAAAGCTTTGGGACCCTGCACCCACATGGGACACCTGGAGGTGGCTCCGGGCTTCTGGCTTTGGATTGGCTAGGCTCCAGCCGTTGCAGCCGCTTGGGAGGGAACCACTGGATGGAAGATCTTCCACCTTCCTCTCTGTATTTCCTCCTCTCTGTATATGTGCCTTTCCAGTAAAAATGGATAAATTTTAAATATACATATAAGAAACACAGTATACGTGTATATATACATGTGTGTGTATATATGTGTGTGTGTATATATGTATTATACACACACACTATGTAAATATACGTGTGTATATATTATACACACACTATGTAAATAAAGAAATACAGTGTCAAAGAGCCAGAGTTGGGAGAAAATTAAATGTTTTAAAAATAATAAGTCTTGGGGTTCTCAGTAGCTAAAGTTCTCGCCTTGCACAGGCAGGGATAATATATGGGTGCCAGTTCTAATCCTAGCAGCCTGCTTCCCATTCAGCTCCCTGCCTGTAGCCTGGGAAAGTAGTCATCTCAAAGCCTTGGGACCCTTCACCCATGTCAGAGACCTGGAAGAGGCTCCAGGTTCCTGGCTTCAGATCAGGGCAGCTCTGGCCATTGCAGCCAACTTGGGGAGTAAACCAAAAGACAGAAGATCTTCCTCTCTGTCTCTCCTCCTCTCTGTATATCTGACTTTCCAATTAAAAATAAAATCTTAAAATAATAATAATAATAAAGTAATAAAATAATAAGTCTTTCCAACACCACATGGCCAGACCTAAGAACCATCTTATGTGGTGCATCTCAGCTTTTGTTTATTTCCTAACCCTGACTTAGAACCCAACAAATCAACACAAAGCACCCCCCCCTTTTTTTTCTGAATGGAGCTTAGATATTGACAGCCTCATCCCTGATATGCCACAAAATATTCTGGCTACTTTATTCCTCCTCTGTTCCACCAGACAACCTGGGACCTCTGGTCCACTCCTTGCGCCCTAAGGAAAAAAGGTGAAAACCGCTTCTTCAAGGTCACATGAATAAACGTGGAAATACAAGTCCCGGACCTTCCTTGGTAGTTCTTGTAAGAGGAGTAGGAACACACTATTAAACTAACACACCTGTAAGCTTTCATTCCCAACACACATTTACATGCATACTTAAGCCTTATCAATCCAATTTCATCAGATACGTTCCTCTGGAACATCTCTTGAATGAGTCTGCGTGCAAGGTGCAGACTCCATTGATACTCTGCACCGTATGCATTAAGGAACCGTGTGCAATTTTAGCCATTTCTAAACGTACTACTCTTACAAACGGGCCGTAACTGACCACCTCCTTGGCAGAAGGTATACAAGTCTGGAAAAAAACAAACCAGTGAAGACATAGGCAGAAAGCAACACCCGGGATCTTATATTTACCCGAGCGAATGACCCGACAAAAACTACAACGAAAGGTCAGCTTACAACACGAGACTAACTGGGAAAGCGAAGGAAGACGATAAAGGACACACGAGGAGGGAAAAAAATATCAGAGCAACAGTAGGCAGCAGGCCTCGCAGCAGCCCAGCACCGCCAAGCACCTGGGCTGCAAATCACTCACCCGAGCTGGCCAATGAGGGTAGCCTTTCATCTTGGCGAAGATGAGGTCTCCAGGTTTGAAATCGCGAGTCATGTTTCGGGGGTGAGGTCGGGGAGGGGTCCCAAGCTCAGCAGGAGCACGGAGATGAGCGAGGAGGCGGCCCAGGGATGCGGCGGGAGCCGGGGTGCAGGCTGCCCGGCCGGAGGAGGAGCAGGAGGAGCAGGAGGATGCCTGGGGGCGGCCCGACGCGCCTGCGAGGGGGACAGCACCGGAGGGGAGAGGGAGGGCGGTCAGAGCCCGGCAGCCCGCAGGGAGGGAGGGCCTCCCGGCGAGGGGGAGGGGAGCCGGCGGGGGAGGGGCGCGGGGTGGGAGCTCCGCCCCGGCAAGTGCGCGGCCCCGGCGGCCCCGCAGCGACCCCCGCGGCCGGCCGGCCCCCCACGCCGCCTGAGGCAGGGATGCAGCCCGGCCCCCTCGCCCCATCGGCCCTGGGGAGGGGGCTTCGCTTCCCCGCGCCGAGGGAGGCGCGAGCCCCAAGGGGGAGGGGGAGCAGCAGAGAGAGAGAGAGAATAAAATAATAATAGAAAAGAAGACGGTGAGGAGAGGCGCACCCGGCCGCCCGCCCGCCGCTCGCCGGCCCCCCGGGCGGGCCGCGTCCACTTCCCCCGCGACGGGCCAGCGGCGGCGAGGCCACGGGGGGCGGGGCGAGGGCCCGCCGGCCGCTCACCTGCCGCGGGCGCGGAGGCTGCGGTGGCGGGCCGGCCGCCTCTGCCCGCGTCCACGCAGGACACCTGCGCCACCAGCTGCCGCAGAGGCGTCCCAACGGCTCCGAACCGCAACCGCCGCCGCCGCTGCGCTGCTCCCGCGCGGCTCCCGCTCGGCGCCCGCTAGCACTGGGCGGCACCACCTGCGCGTCCGGGCGGGGGGGGACTGAGACCCGCCGCCGCCGTGTGCGGCTCCGCAGCCCCGCGTCTCCAGGCGCCCCGGGGGCGAGGTCGCAGGGGCGCCGCACACGCGTCCAGGTGCGGAGGCAGATCGCTACGAGCTGGCAAACGCGTGAGCAGGAACAGCTCGGCCTGCTGCGACTCCCCCCCCCGCGCCGTGCCGAGTGGTCGGGCCCGGCCCGCCCCTGCTGGCTGCTCTGCGTGTGTGTATTTGTATGTGTACTGTATGTAAAAGGCGGGGAGGGAGGAAACGATTGTTGTGGACCGGGTTTGGGGGCGGGTATCCAGGCCTGTAGCCCTTGGCTGCGTGTTAGGGAGAAACTGGCAGCGTGTGCAATGTGCTTGCATCGTTTCCCCGGGGTGGAGAAGCGTAAACTGCTCTTGCAGTTTGCATCATCCTAAAAACAGGAGCTGTGCAAAAAAAAAAAAAAAAAAAAAAAAAAAAAAACCAAAGATGAAATTGGAGCAGAGGCGGTTGCAGAAAACGTGAAGCTCATAGGCCTCTGGCACCTCGCTGAATGGGCCTCACAGCCTCCTTTTCTCTGAAATGGTAATATGAGAAAGCCCCATTTCGTTTGTTTGCCGTGTAAAGCACCTAAAACTGCAAACGAAACTGCAATCCTATCGAATGCAAAACCTGGAAAATATAAAACAATGACAGGAAAGCATAAGCCTTACAGATAGGATGTGGATTTGCCTCCTTCCCACCCCCCGCACTAAATTTTAGCTGCATTTGAATTTATTTCCCAAGTAGAATAATAGCTGATACACAGCTGATGTGTTACTACAATGCGAATGTTACACCTGTTAAAACAATTTTAAAGATTATTTTAAATACTGTAGCCAATACATTTTACAATATATCAATGTGCTCAGCCTCCTGATATGGACTAATACTTTAATATTTTTCTTGTGCCAGAGCTATGATCACCAGCATTGGCTTAATTTTGCTTATCTATTAACATTCACCTGGGTTCCCCAAAATAGGAAGGTACTCTGTGTGAGGAGTCAGACAGGATAGGAGGCAGTTAGGGTTTTTCTGGTCCCTGCTGAAGTTATTTTTTATAAATGTAAAGTTATGTTTTCCAGCAGCCCTGCTTCCCATCCAGCTCCCTGCTTGTGGCCTGGGAAAGCAATCAAGGAGAGCCCAAAGCCTTGGGATCCTGCACCAGCATGGGAGACCTGGAAGAGGCTGCAGGTTCCTGACTTTGGATCAGTTCAGCTCTGCAAATCAGCGGATGGAAGATCTTCCTCTCTGTCTCTTCTCTTTTCTGTGTATCTGACTTTACAATTAAAATAAGTAAATATTAAAAAAAAAAAAAGGAAGGAGGAAGTTAACCAGTCCCACCTCTCTGAGGTTTGGACAATTCTGTGCTTAGATTAACTCCCCTGAGATAGTGCATAAAAGACACCATCTCCACTATTAACTCGGGTTTTTCTTTCCTTCCTCCTGCCACTGTGGCAGGAGCCCTTTTTCCCTAATAAATTCTACTTTGTCTTGTGTGAGACAAGAAAGGAGGTTGCTGCTGTGTTTTCACATTGAACATCCTACAATGCTTCCAAACGTTCATGAGCGGATGGAATGAAAAGATGTTGATTTCGATGCAGAATTGTGGGCTACAGCTTTTTTCATAGTTGCATTTTTTCATCAACCTTTTGGAAGACCCCACGTATGTGATAAATAGGGCATTTTGAAAATTAATTCAAATTAATTTGAACTTCTTTGCATTCATTGATCCAGCAAAAAAAAAGGTACCTAATGTGTGTCAAGCACTGTTGAGCATACAGCTATGAAAGACAAACGCTGTCTACTGCAAACTGTCTGAAAATAGCCCAAAAATGTAAAATCACGTAAGTATTAGTAACTAGCTAACTCTGGCTTTGAAATAAAGGATGTACCCCTGGAAGTAACTCTGGAAAAGCTTTGTTGAATATCTAAAATTTGATAATTATTTTGGAGAGAGAGCGTGGATGCTCGCAAATGAATGAAGGCATTTCCCACAAAAAATGTCCTGCGGGGAATTTGAAGAAATTAAGTGAAACGAGGCAAAAGTATAAGGTGCAGGTGGAGCAAAAGGAGAAATTGACTAGCAAGGAAGAAGGAAGGAGCGTTAGACAGGGTTCTAAAACTTCTCATCCTGAGCTTCAGTTTGATTCGGTGTTTTCTAAAGAGCTTCTTAGGTCATTGAGAAAGAAGGAAATGGAAATGACTGAAGTTACTCTCCCTGTTTCAAGAGAGAGGCTTGTACAAGGGACTGGGGGGTCGTGGCACTTCACTATGGGACCCTATTTTCTGGTTGAGACTGGTGTCTATGAGCAAAGGTGCATCCAAATAATTACACTTAGGAATACTTGTCAGATGTTTGTCCTGCACTGGAAAAGGTGGAGAAGAGTGCACTGAGTGGAAGTTCAAGACCCTGAGCAGGTGAGACCAACATAAACCCTCACGCCCACATGGGGTGCAGGCACCTCGTTTGTGGCAAGCTGTGGCCGCTAAGGTCGCATCACCTACACCTGGGACCTTGTTAGCCTCAGCCTGTTAGCACTCCTACTAAATCATAATCTGCATCTTAACAAGATCCCCAGGTAGTTCTTATGCAAATTGGAGTTTGAGAAACTGCTGTGGAGGATTCTACAGACTCTCACCTACAGGTGAAAACAGACATATACATTATAATTAGTATGCAAAGAGATGTTCTTCGGAGTGCTACACGTGTAGAAAGGCTGATTCCTCGGAAAATAAAGCAGGGAACAGAGAAAAGCCTTCACGTTTCAGTGTTCCTGTTAAGCGAAAGCCAAGTTCTTGTTCTAAGTATTGGCAGGTTTAACTTGTGATAGTTTGTAGGCGCCGCTCTCTCAACCAGAAGGCAGGGCAAGCAGGTGGTGTTTTAAGCCTCCAGAGAACAAAAGCCCAAGATCCCCCGGGCAGCAATTCTGCCGCAGCGAGGGGCGGGGAGGGAGGGAGTGCAGAAGACTGGGGGGCGGGGGAGGAGGAAGAGGAGGGAAGGCTGTCCGGGTCTTAGCCATTTGGAGAATGTTTCCGAACCGCTGGCAACCAGGCTCCCTTCCAGCCAAACTGGATGCACTCTCCCCAGTCAGTCCTCTTGATGGGCCAGGTAGACACTAGGAAAGTGATGAGAAAGTTGCCAGCGAAAAGAATGTGGTTTCCAAAGCAACGGAAGGTAAGGGGAGAGGCGAGGAAAGGTAGAGGCAGGAACTTGACCTAAAGTCTCTTCCTTAACCCAGGGATACACTACGGTCTCCATCTCGTACGTGGGAAAGCAGCCGCGCAGAAGTTAAGCTGTTTGCCCCACAGGCCGAGTCCTTTGGCAAGACTTCCACAAGCCCGCCAGCCCGCGCCTCTTTGTGATCCCACTCCGCCTCTAGGTGGGGCAGGGAGGCAGCAAGCCTGCAGGCCGACTGGCTTTAATCAGAAAAAGATGCTGGAAGTAAAAGCAGCCCAGTACTCTTCCACCTTTGGATGTAAACGTTTTCCCTGCTTCAGATTTCCTCACAACCTCCCTCCTCCTCGCCCGGATCCCCAGCTCGAAGCCACCACCACCAGCAACCCTTTCCGTTTAACTCCTGATCCTGAAGACCCCCAAAAGCACCTCTGGAATGGCTTTGATCTCACCCTAAGTGGGACTGATTCCTTGGTTACAGTCTCCTGATAGTCTTTAAACTGTTTACAAGGAGGCACACTCTTATTCATGGTTACTAACACTTCTCAGAAACTCAATAAACACTTTTGTTTTCAATCAATAATGAATCAGATGGGCAAGTGGAAAACTTTGACAGATCCCCCAGTCCTTTAGGCTGAGAGAGAAGGAGAGAGTGGTATTTTGTTTTGAAGGGGAGGAGGAGGGAGAGAATGGTGCCCTTGTAAAATTTTCATGTTTCACAGCAGAGTTTCCTTTGATGACAAATGCATTCATTTTAACCATCTTCATGAAAACCTTTCTAAATGAGATTTAATACTTATTCCAGAGGTTTCAGCAATAATAATTTCTTCATATCTTTTACATAATTTCCTGCTATTTCTTTGAGAGGTATAGACAGACACACAAAGGAGAGATATGGGGAGCTCCTGTCCACTGGTTGACTCAAATGGGTGTGGTGGTGGGGACTGGCGACTCAGTCCAGCTCTCCCATGCGCAGCACGGACTCAGCTATCCTGGTAGCCACCTGCTGCCTGTCAGGGTGTACATTAAGCTGAGGGACTGGCACAACAGCCCAATTGCCTGGTCCTTGGCATGTAGGTGCTGGTTTGTGTCTTGGATGCTCCACTTCCCATCCAGCTTCCTGCTTATGGCCTGGGAAAGCAGTAGAAGGTGACCAAAACCTTGGGATCTTGCACCTGAAGGGAGACCCAGAAGAAGCTCCTGGCTCTTGGCTTTGA